AAATGCAAGCAGGTTCATGATGCGGGTAGGATTTTTGAAGAATGCCCGGTTTGGGATTTACCATCTTATACCTCGTTAATGACGACCTATGCTCAATGTGGACAAGGGGAAGAAGCTTTAAAGCTCTATCTAAAGGTTCTGGACAGGGGTCTTGCACCAGATTCTTTTATTTGCAGTTCTCTACTCAATGCCTGTGCAAATTTATCAGCTTACGTACAGGGGAAGCAAATCCATGTTCATGTCCTGAAGCTGGGGTTCATGTCTGATTCTTTTGCTGGGAATTCACTTGTCAATATGTATGCCAAATGTGGAAGTATAGAGGAGGCGGGTAGTGCTTTTGATGAGGTTCTTGAGAAAAGTGTCATATCATGGTCCGCAATGATTGGTGGGCTCGCACAACACGGCCATGGTAAACAGGCACTTCATTTGTTCGATGATATGTTGAAAGACGGTGTTTCCCCCAATCACGTGACATTAGTTAGTGTCCTTAGTGCCTGTAACCATGCCGGTCTAGTTGAAGAGGCCCAATTGTATTTTGACACAATGAAAGAGAGATTTGGCATCGATCGAACTCAAGAACATTATGCTTGCATGATTGATGTTCTTGGCCGGGCGGGGAAGTTGGATAGAGCAANTGAATCTGGTGAACGGTATGCCATTTGAAGCAAATGGGGCCATTTGGGGGGCGCTTCTAGGGGCTGCCAAAACCCACAAGAACGTGGAGCTTGGGGAGCATGCAGCCAACATGCTTCAAACCCTAGAACCCGAAAAATCAGGGACCCATGTTCTCTTGGCAAATATCTATGCCTCAGCAGGATTATGGGATAATGTTGCAAAAGCACGAAGATTAATGAAGGATAGCAACGTGAAGAAGGAGCCGGGGATGAGCTGGATGGAGGTGAAAGATAACATACACACATTCATAGTCAGGGACAAAAGCCATCCTAGAAGTGAAGAGATTTATGCAAAACTTGAGGAATTGGGACGCAAGATGGAAAAAGACGGCTATGTTCCTATGATAGAAACTGACCTCCATCACGTGGAGAAGAAAGAGAAGGAACTCCTGCTCTCGTTTCACAGTGAAAAACTTGCGGTGGCTTTTGGACTGATTGTGACCCCACCAAGAGCCCCCATTAGGGTGAAGAAGAATCTCCGCATATGTGTGGACTGCCACACGGTGTTCAAGTACATATGTAAGATAGAATCGAGAGAAATAATTATTCGGGATATCAACCGATTCCACCACTTCAGGGATGGATTATGTTCATGTGGGGATTATTGGTGACCTTAATTTGAGTAATGATACACTCATGGTCTTTTATCTTGTAAAGAGAAGCTAGCTGATGGGCATATTTGGTACTCATTCTCCTTGGAGAATGGAGGACTATACTTCGAGGTTTAAAAAAAAACCTAGCAGCGAAAAGAAATAACATAACCTAACAATAAAAGACAACTAACAAAGACAACTAACCTAGCAACAAAACACAACTAACCTAGTAGCAAGAAAGAAATAACCTAGCAACAAAAGACAACTAACCTAGCAGCGAAAAGAAATAACATAACCTAACAATAAAAGATAACTAACCTAGCAGCAAGAAAGAACTAACCTAGCAGCAAGAAAGAAATAATCTAGCAACAAAAGACAACTAACCTAGCACCATCAGAAAACTAACCTAGCAGCAAGAAAGA